AAAGACAGACGTGTTCTTCCATGAAGCAGGAAGGTTCCTGTAGTAGTTATATACAGACCAGTCAATTTACTAGACTATACACCTACAGGAATTCTATATTACAGATTACTACAGGATGTGTAATAAGTGAAAAGACTCTTAATACACTCGTACTAATGAACTGGAGGAGAGGAAGAAAACCCACAAATTCCTTGCAAGTATGAGGGGTTTTTTTTCATAGAGTTAGTGGTATTTTAGTTAGTGATACAAGTGTCATTTTTAATATGTCAATATTATTACAGGACATTTTTTAATTTTTTAAAGTATATAAATGTGTTGTAGCAGCAGAAGCAACACTTCAGCCCCATATTTTGTAGATAAAAGTACTAAAGAGGCAGATGCATAACTAGTCATTTGTGTGTGCAGTCATACGATCAGTAAGTAAAACCGTACAGACAGACGTAGGTAGCAAATAGGTGCAGTTCTTGGCCTCTGCTCTTATAAACAATCATCCTTGAAAAATAAAAAAAAAAGGAAATTAACTGCACATACAAGCAATTACCACAAGGTGGCAGTGACATTACACTGTAAGGCCATCATAACTCAACCATATAAAAAATATTCCATTTGGACTTTTGTGTATTAATTTAGAAATTATTATATATTTAATTTATATGTTAATAATGAAGTGGAAAATACCCACAAAAGTACATTAAAAGACTATATGGGTTGCAAAACCAGGCTCTCAGAAGTTAGAAAATGCTAGATCACTCATGCAAACTCACTTGTGCTCCATGATGCAGTCTTTAGTTATACAATCATATGCTATTTTCTCTATTCGTAGAATGGAAGATGTTATTTGGACCCTCTAGCAGGACTAATTTTTGGGATCCAGGATATAAATTTCTAAGATCCCATCACACAATTAATGTAACATCTGCCAGTGGCCTTAACGGGCAACTACTTAGACTCCAAAATACTCTTCCACTTTCAATTATTTATTTCTTTTATTTTTCACTAATAATAATGATTATTATTATTACTTTGTTTATAAGCATTTCCTATACAGCAACGTATGGAAGCAAACAAAATTTACCAATCAAATCAGTAGCCAAATTGACACCCTTTTAAGTCAACCCATTTATACTTTGATCTCTTTAATGCTATTAACCTGATAACACGCAAAGTTCTAAGTAACCATGGAGATGTAAAACAGCAGCATCTATAAGCGAGGTTGCAGAAATTTAAAAACAAATGGAAAAAACAACGCACAGCCATTCACAAATTTGTTACATATTATAGATTTTAATGTTATTATCCTTATATGTACAAATGTTATCAGACTAGTGACCCTTCAATCATATGTATGATGACACCATTGCCAATGCTTGAAAGCAGTATAAACAAACAACAACAAAAAATAAAAAGGTAGTCCATGCTATCTTTTAGAAACTGAAAAGTGAAAGTAATCTGTACAACTTCCTAGCGTAGCTCCCAATGTATGTTTAAAATACATACATTGCAATAATCAATAAGAATAGTCAGTAAGCGTGCATATGTACTTGTCCTAGCACACAACTTCCTAAGTATAAATTGTAGCTGTAAGGGCAGCTGCAACAGATACTTTCCAGAGGACGTTATACCAGAGTGGTAAGTGAACAAAATCTACTGTGTATGAGTTTGAGAAAGAATAAACAGATACCGTATGTTCCATTTTAGAACGGATTAAGACTTTCTACTGAGGAAAAAAAGTAGCAACACCATGAAGCCAAGAAAACAAAAACGCATTTTCACAACTTGAGGTCTAACTTTTACTCACCCTGTAACCAAGATCTTCAATCACATCACAAGATGCAGCACTAACATCAGTGTGCCACATTGTCTCTTTGATGCTGCAGCCATACATAAATACATTCTTTTTGCGAGAATGTCCATGATAATCACAGAAGACCTACAAAATTATGTGAAATATGTAAACTAATGTTTCAAAATCATTTGCAATAGCAAACAAATAAACAAATCTGTACACTTCCTCATCTATTATAGTTATTATTACATTCATTTGCATGTGCTAAAGAATATAGAGCATTAGGAGATGAAAGACACAGTATACAATCAACTTGTGTAGTAAAAAGAAATCTTTTTTTTAATAAAAATCAGACTACAGGAATTTGAATCTTTTACCATACCAGAAGCAAAAGCAGCAACAGGAATTGTAACTAAACTTTTCCACAATATAAACTAAAGGGATTTTCTGGTTCAACCTAAGTGGAAACAGATCCAAGTTTCCAGTCAGCTCTTCAAATCACATTTGTAAGCATCTGACACGGTTTCAAAAATCTATTATCTTACAAAGAGATATACTGACACAAAGGTTTTTGAATACCCTGTCTGGGGCTACACACACACGTCCATACTCACCAGAGGTAAACGCTTAATAGTAGCCATATACTGTAACAAGCCCTTGGCATGGTAAATTGTGGGATGAAGATCTAGATTTGGATTTTGCCACTGCCTGTTCAAGTCCTCCCCACTTAAAGAACAACGATGGCTAAAGAAAACAAATTTATAAAAGAAAGTGTCTTGCACAACATATCATCACTTTTTAAAAGTCAGTTCCAAAAAGGCCATACCCAAAGATATTTTTTGAATCATCATGCATATAATAAAACTCACTGATAAAAATATGTTCCAGAAAACCATTTTTCAAATCCAAGCACTATGAAAAATTATTTTTTTTTTTACAGAAGTGATTTATGCTTAACACAAAATTGGACCAATGAGAAGGGCAGAGTGTTTATTATTCATGGTACAAAATTTATTATTATGACTACTACTACTACAAATGTGACTTGAAAAATACAATTCTCAACATTTTAATAGGGACTAAAGTTTAAAATAAGCTCTACCAAATAACATTTTTTTCATAATAAGGCATTTTTTGGTCATGGAATCTGGGGGGAAAAAACCCTCTAGTCTAGGAGCTGCAGGAAGGTGTGTTTTTTGTACGAACTCATAATTCAATGCAGTATTTATTAATCAGATCCTATGATGCGTATTTGGTTCAAAGTTTAGTTGCTTTACCGTTATACCTCTTTTCCAGTATCTATGTGCAATAGTGCTCCTATTGCACAGATGGAGTACATAATATGAATGGATAAGGCTTTAGCCCGACCACACATTCTGCATCACCCCAAAACAGCCCTATGACAAGCACAGTTCATGTTGCAATGTTTAAGACTTTGTAAATGATCCTGTGCTCTCCTCTCACTGGCATAAATCTCTCTATCAAATTGCACATTGCTAGACCAGGGGTGGGCAAAATGCGGCCCATGGGCCGGATGCAGCCCGCCAAGCCACTCCATCCGGCCCGTAGAGCTCCTAAAACATTTAGAAAATAAATATTTATCTGCCCCGGCTGCCTGTCATGAGGCGCTCGATGGCTTACCAAAACTCAGTAAGCAGCCCTTCACCTGAAATAATTGGCCACCCCTTAGACATACAGTTCATTTTTTTTCTTTAGATGTTTATAGAATTCACATCACAGAGGGACTTATGCTAGCTCCAAATGAGCTTGTATGTCCATAATGCACTACTGTGCAAAGACACTTGTTTAGGTCCTGGAACCAACATAGGCATGTCAGCACAGTGTTCCAGCTGGGTTAGATAATCTATAAAGCTATACTGTTTCTGGTTTCAGAGCCAGCTTTTAAAGCTAACTCAGCTATCACTACATGATGCTGCATTGCACTGTGTAGGTATACTCAGGGCCTTGTTACATATTGCACTTTGAGCTGCTCAAATGTTGATGCATGTTACTGCTAGCTTCACTTTTGCAGCAGTTGCATGTTAGGCTAAAAACTTTCTCACTGTCCCTCACCTACACAGCTGACACTTGCCACTAGAGGGCTGGCAAGCAGGGATCTAACTAGGAGCTACAGCTGTGAGTTTCCACTACAGGGCTGGTGAACCAGGACAGGCTTCTATCCCTGCTATGGGGGTGTGTGAGAGATGGGTTGGGGGTGGGAGATAAGAACATGAAGCTGAGAAGCAGAGAGTTCATGGGATGGGGGTGAGTAATGAAATGGGAGGTTGAAAGGAAATAGGGGTTGGGAAACAGTGGTGAAATAAAGGAAGTCGATCACTAAAAGAAAATAAAAAGTAAAACAAAAGACTTTAAAAAGAAATAAAAAGGAAGTAAATTAAAAAAGGTTTGTTTTAATAAACTCAGATTTAGGATTGAGGTGTGGGAGTGCTGGTCGTGATTTCCAGGGTGGCTAGAAGCAGTGAAGAAAAGCTTTTGGGGGAGCTACTGCCCCCACCCCAGGAAGGAAGCCCCAGTCCAGTCCCTTAATTTGTTCCCTCACCACCCCCTATTTCCCACTCCTGAACTCGTATGTGCCTTGAGACTTGGCATGTGCTCTGCAGGCTGTTTGCTTGGGGTTGCATCCGTGGGGGTAGGAAGAGGGTGTTGGTTTGGTGCCAGAACTGCCCCCTGGGCAGTAGAGTTCAGGGGTTGAAAGGTTTGTCTATACACAACCGGAGGGTGGAGGAGGGGACACTGCAAGCTGGGATGCTAGAGGACAGCAACTTAGGTGTCTCATTTTGGGGAGTGGCCACACACTAATGAAGCACAAGCTGGGTAACAGATCAGAGATAAACTTGCCCTGGAGTGACCTAAAGTGTTCTTAAAACTAATTTCAGATGGTAATGCGTGGACAATCCTGTGGTTCAGAGCTCCAGGAGCTGCCTACAATTAATGTGTAACAAGGTTCTCAAAGTACTGTCTCAAACCATAGCCAGCTAAAACCACTGAGTAGAAAAGGCCATGTGTTTAAGTTTTTCCACAGTCCGAGTAACCAAGGCTCTCAAAAGAGTATGTTAGTAATTTTAACTGGAAAGAGCAAAAAAATACTTAGCATTTAAAATTTGTATGTAGCAGCTTTGCTAATTAGCAACATACTAGAAAGAGCCTAAAAATGTAAGTGCAAAAAAGTTATCCCTTCAGTACAAATTATACATTAGTTCTGGAAAACTACTGCACTTTTAGTCTCAAAATTAAAGTGGACACTATTTTAATTGTGAAGATAGACAGAAAGGTCTCACGTTAATTTATTACATTTTTGTGAGCATAACTGAACTTACTTTCCATTGATGACACCATCTGGATTGAGCATAGGGACAATTTTAAAAATATAGGATTCTCGTAAACTCTGGGCAGCAGGGCTACTACTCATAAGATATTCCAAAGTCCCTTTCATAACCCAGCTTGCATTAGTTTCTCCAGGATGTACACGAGCAGATAAGAAAACATAAGGACGATTCCCTAAAAAGAGCGTGCACACAAATTGCAAGATATAAATACAAGTAAAGTAAGAAAAAACAGTTTGAAAAAGAGTAGCTCCATTTACCCAGGTGGAGTCCAGTATTTCTTTTAAATGCACACTGGATAAATAATAAATATTAATGGGTAAAAACATGCATCAATGGCTTTTAAATTAAGCACAACCTGAAAGGGTCAATTGCATAAATACCATCAGTTAAAGGAAGTAATGGCTGTTCATTATGACATGATGCTTCTCTTTTTGTAGATGAGGGAAATTTAGAAAAAAAACTGGGGTGCTTTGAGATAAAGACTGATACAGTCATGGTAACTAAATGCAACTTAAGATATGAGATTTATGGAAAATGGGTCTTTTTGGAAGGAAAATTTTCTAAAGTCATCAAGAACAATGATTTCAAAAAAGCAGGTAGGAACTGCCCTCAAAAAAACACATAATGATAAAACCTAAAGATACTAATAAATCTCTAGCAATGGAGTGTGCTTCATTGAACAAATATAGGTATGAAATCTGTTTATCTTTGATAATTAATAAGGTTTTTTAAAACCATAACATTAATATTTTGATTTTAACACACCATCACTTAAAAAAAAATCTCATTAAATTCAGTGTTTCATCTTACATTGAGCGTGGAATAGCAAACATCTGTACACATTTGTTGCATTGAAATTTTACAAGGTGCTTATTTTACATTATTTTCAGTGAATTAGAGGCCAGTTATATACTTACTGAACTGACAGACATGTTCATAATAATTCGATTCTGGCATGGCTGTTATAGTGACTAAAGGGCAGCTGTTGCCAGCTAGCGTCTCGCAGAGTACATCTTCACGAAAATAAATCTGCTGAGGGTTGTGCATGGATTCCAATTTCTGAAGATGCATCTTCAACCAAAAATAATAAAAAGTACTTAATTTGCAAGTGTGTATGACAAAAAATAAAGTGTTTATTTTAATCAATCTTACAGAGGAAATATATTCAGCTGTTCATGTTTATACATTCCCTCCTGTTTGCAGTGTATATCATCTCTCTAATTTTTTTTTGAGGAAGCATATTTAAGTCAGTTACTGATACAGTTTTAATTCTCTATGCATACCAAGTGACCCATATAGCAATGAAATAAAGATCATGCCAGATTTGTTGCAGTGTTTCTTTGAAGAAGCAAATACTCACTTTCTATACGTTCTAATCTGCTCATTTTTATATGAATGCTATGATGTAATAACACAAATGTATCTTAAGTTTTTAAATTTGCTTTTGATCTACAGAAGAAAATATTTAGAAGCAGCAGAATTTTCTCATGGAGACAGATACTTATGAGAGTATATATTACATTATTTATAAAAAATATAAAAGGATATCAAAAAATCTAGTTCAGAGAATTGCTCACTTTTAATGTAGAATACGTATATGGATAATGGTAAGCAAAGTAGCAGACATCATCCTTATGTGGGAAGCTCACTGTGAATGTAATTGTATAATAGGATTTTCCTTTCTGACCACCAGCAGCAATTGAACTTCTGGAAAAGTGATTCCTAAGAGTGAAGTCATATCAACATATTACATCAAGTAATATCATTTCTGAACATTCAACAACCTCCTCCCCAAGGCTCTATGAAATACAAAAGGACAGGGTTATTCAAACACTTATGCCCAATAATCATCTCATGTTGGTACTACTAGTCAAAGCAGAGTATGGTAGCAATCATAGGAAACTTTCAAGAGAAAGGGAAGCAAAACTAGCAAACTCAATCATTGTTATTAAAGGCCCTTGTTAAAACTCTTAATAAAAATAGTTTTAAACATGTCCCTAAAGAAATGACTTTTATATTCACTTAGAGTAGTAGCTCTCAACCTTTATAGACTTGAGCACCGCTTGGAAAAGTACCATATTTTCATGCATACAATATACACGTTCCTCCTTCAAAATCAGCCGTCCCAAAATCAGGTTGTATTAACCTCTGATTTTATGACCAAAATAGAAGCACCTTACTTTGGTTCCTGCTCCATAGTGCAGCATGTGACACTACTATTCAAGCAGCTGAGGGAGTCAACTGATACAATGGCTCTCTGTTCTTCACTCCACATGTATGATCATCTCTCCTTTTTAATAGTCTTCATGTTCCACTAATCAAGCTAATCTTCCTTAGGGCAAACTGCTAGTTACACCTGGTCTCTCTCCTCCTATTTCACAGCCCTGGAGACTATTTAGCTCTTTGCAAAATCACAGATCCACCCATGAAGACAAGTCTTCAGTAGCAGCTAGGGTTTCTGCTTTTTAGTTAAGCAGGAAAGGGAGGGTGTGTAAGCTGAAGATTAAGCTCTGCCCCTGGCTCTATGCAGTCATAACTCTGGAAAAAATCTTTTCCTCTTCATTTATCTTTCAAAACTAATGTGTGTATTGTGTTTTGGGGCTTGTTGTATGCAAGAAAATATAGTATATTACCACTACACCTTTAATGATAATTTATCATCATAAATCAGATTCTGTTCTAGTCTTCAGCATAGGAAGTCTGATGTACTCATCTCATTCTTTTGGCATACTTACTTGTAGTAACAAATATCTGTTCCAACACGACCCCACCACGGCCTGGCATTTAATGCCTCCTGAACAGAGTACATGAGGGGCTGCATACCTATAAGAAAAAAGTATTAAGCTTTTATCCTGCTGTCAAGGAATAGAGCTTTTACACATAACCCACAATGGACTAGATTTCATCTGAACTGTTTTATAAAGTACCCCAAGTCAAGTATATTAAATTTCACTTTTATAATGTATGTATTGGTTAGATTTGTTTAAAAAGCTGGGTGCATTCTAAATCAATAGTCAACAGACACTAGAATGAAAAAGATTCAAGAGAAAAAGTGCAACATAAATGTCAGCCAAAAGTCAGCTCTAAAATACCACATGCAAGTTTAAAGTAATGCAATGGTTAGCATCGACTTTAAGTCAGGAAAATCCAGGATTCAAGCCTAACTCACTCTCACAAAATGTCAGGGTCCCAGCCTTCTTGCACCTCAGTCCACCTATCAGCAAATAGGATTGGACCATGTGCACAGGACTGTGCTCAAACAACAGATGCTGTTCATGTTGAGTAAATACACTGAAGACGTTTGATCTTGATGGCCTCCTGAGGTCTCTTCCAGCCGTATTTTCCTATCATTGTATCTTGACTATCCTTGCAAAAGCAGGTTCAGGTTAAGTTTGACACGCTGTGTGGTAAGTACACATTAGCATCACATTCTCCATGATGCTAAGACAAGTTCCCGTTAGTGTGATAAAAAGAGCTCAGAAGCGTTTGATGGTTTCATACTATGATGAACCTAGAATCCCATGTTAATCAATAATTTATGACTTATCCTTTCTATAGCTTTATTATGACAGCCTTTATTTCAGTTTTAAAGTTGTACGCATAACAAGAATTATTGTTATAAACTGAGCCAGTCAGACGTTTTCTAGTCACAAGTACTGAGTTTAATTTGTAAAAAGAGAAATGAACATGCTAGTGATCCTTAAAGATCCTTAAAACAATTATCCTGCTCTGGATAGTCCAGTGCATATTCTTATGTTCTTCTTTGTAAGCAGATAGAAAACATGCCTTACCATAATTAAATTGACTATTTGACTTTTCACAATTGATGATGTTAAACCGGTAACCAATTCCTGTCTTCATTCCACTGACTTCAAAGTAAAACCACTGATGATAATGATTGCTGTTTATATCGGAGTTCAGAATAAGATCATACTCGTTTCTGGAGATGAACAAAGACAAAATAAGTCTTCCTAAATTAGAAATGTGCAGTTCTTATACAAAAGAAGGGGGGGGAAAATCTTACTTCCTAATCTGAATAACTTTGCGCAGATTCCCAGACTCAAATTTGGAGTTAAACTTCAAGATATCTCCTTCTTCTGGCACTGAACAACTTCAAAATATAAAAATCCAATTAAAGCAAAAGGAATGGACCTTTGGCACTCATTAGTTAATTCATAAATAATTTAAACTTGGTATTAGTAACCTGCTCAAAATAAAGACATGCACAATAAAAAAAAATGCAATAATGTTCTCATTAGGATTAAACTTCCCCACAAAATTCACCCTCAAGAAAGCAAAATCAGCATATCCAATTATCACACAGAAAATGATCACTTCTATAACATGTAAAACGTACCTGGAATTGTCAAGGTCATATATAACTCTATCTACAATATCATTTTGATGAATCAGTCTTTCTATATCTTGAGCGATTTTTGTCCTACAATAAGAAAGGAGATCTCATTTAAACATATTCCACATCTGTCATTTTAGACATGGTGCATATCAACCTAAGCATCAACCAAAGACTCTGACACAAACAAAGCTAATTAGCCCAATTTTCAGTAAGACACAACCTTACTTATGTACACAAACTCACAAAATTGCACTTGTGTTTGCAGGTGCTTGCACTCGACAAGCGATAGATTCCAATATCTGCATGTGCACAGGTTGAATTTGCATGCACAAAAATGTAAAATAAAAAGAGGGGGGGGGGGGGGGGGTTATAAATCTACAGTAGAAGTAGGAATTATCAGGTATTTTATTGGAGCTTAATTAAGGTAATATTTTAGAGATTCAGTTGTATTAGCAATTCATAAATACGGTGTCAATGAATACTAAAAAGGAACTGTAGAGGACTAAACTGTGCAGTAAGTGGGTTAGTGAGCTTTTCACCTCTGGACATCTGGGTTCATATACTGACTAGGAAACAAATGAGCGAGAGAGAAACGCCAGTTGGACATTTATCCATATCGTTAAACCACAGAGGAATTGGCAATATCTAGGCCTTGGGTTGGAAAAGCACGACTGTGCTGCAGTTCAAAAATTAAATGAATTGTCAGGGCTGTGTGGGAAAGTTTGCACAGTACCTGCAACAAAAACAGAAGGAAGCAGATTAATAGCGAAAAGCATAAAAGTGGAGTCCAAGGCTGGTCCTATGCTTGTATCTCTCTACACAAAGCAACACTGAGTATTGGGGAGGCAAAAAAAAGTGGTTAATTGCAAATTTTCTTGTTAACTGTGTTATCTTGTACAAGTTGCTAAATCTCAGTGTGCTACCTCACATGGATATTGCTAGGATAAAATATTAATGGCTGTGAGATACTGACATGACAGTGATGAGGCAAATGCACAGAAAAACAGGGCAAAAAATAGAGAAGCAGGAAATTACTAACCTACAATTCTTGTTCTATACCAGCAGCAATTATAAGAAATTCACATTCTTGGATTCTCACCTCAGGCATGAGGTTCAAAAGCTATCCAATAAATAAAATAATTTAGAATTTTGGTTAAGTTTTGAGTCAGGTGATTCAAGGGACTTGAGTGGTGAGCATTCTAGTTTCCAAATACCTGATCCTTAGAAAACCCTGATACGTACAATAAAAACAAACCCAAAATCTCATGGATAAGAGAAAAAGAATGGGTATTTATGTATTAATCAATTACTCCAGCATATCTGCATTAGAGATAGGTAGTTACCTCTAATCCACAAAAAAGCCTAAGGGATTTTTCATAAATATATATTGAAAAGTTTTACCCATTGTACAACATCAGAATTGTCAAAATGTAAATTATAGTAAGTGGTGTCAGACAAAGTCATGCTACCCCCTGTTAACTGAACATCCCAACTGAACTACAAAGTAGGGGTATGCGACGCTTTGGACCCTATTCTATTCAGCGGAGATTCAGCCCAATTTGGCAGCCAAATCTCCGACTCCGAGGACCCTTGAATCTCTCCAAATCAAATTGGAACCCTTGGAATCGATTCGGAGAGATTTGGCGTTTCAGGCATAGACAGCTTTAAATATTTTTTCTACATACCTCTAGGTAGCAGGCAGCTTGTCAACACAGTGATGCTGGGGCACATGGAGTGTCCCACAGAAGTGTGGGGGGCTCCCCAGTGCGCTCGACAGCAGACCCAGAAGTGGACCAGAAGCACTTCCAGTCCACTACCAGGTCCACTGGGGAGCGCGCTGAGGGATCCCCCCTGAACCCTTTGGCTTGGCGACTGGTGCCTCCTGGGTCTGGGGGGGCACCCAGGGTCCCACCTCAGCCAATCGCTGAGCTGGGGGCCGGGAGGGGGGGGCCCCTACACACTCCCTGTTGGACCCAGAAGTGGACTGGAAGTACTTCCCGACCACTTCCGGGTTCGCTGCCAAGTATGTGGGGGCCCCCCGTGCTCCTGTGGGACGCTCTATCCACCTCAGGATCACACCATTCATGAGCTGTGCCTGGTATCTTGAGGTATGTAAATAAAACATTTAGAGGTGTGTCAATGTCCAAATCGCTGATTCTCTGGAACAGCTTCGAATCTTCAGATTCAGATTTGGCCAAAGCAAATGGGGGACAGTGATCCAAATCAACAAACTGAATCACTGTCCCCGATTCGGGCCAAATCTGAATCAAATAGGGCCCGTTTTGCACACCCCTACTACAAAGGATATCGCTATTCTTACCTAACCATGCAACATAACCCACTTTTATTTGTACTATGTTATAAAAAAATCTCCAATCTAAAGGATTTCCTCCCAAATTTTACATAAAGGGAAAGAAAGATAAGCGAGGTGACTTTCCACTCCATTATAGAGAATATCACTGAAAGAGGCATGACATATGGAAACACCAGAAGGCTATTACCTAGAGAAAGCATGCAAACTGATTAAAAAACAAAAAACAACCCCAAAACATTTGTTGATGTCTACACATAAATAACAAACAATACTTTTAACACATAACAACTGCTTTCAAAAAGAGTATTAGAAGCTAGTATGAAGGAGTCTAAAGGCATGGGTACACAGTTTCTACATCGCCGTTCAAGACTTCTGCTGAGAAGCATGGCCCATCCAGTTGCTTTTGCTCCTGATGTACAAAATTTCCAAAAGGAGGATTTCACCTGAGCATACACCCAGAATCACTTCTAGGCTCTCCATTTCAGATTTAGGTTATTGGTGCTACTCCTAAGCATCGGCATCACCTCCTTGTCTGAACACACTCAAACCAGTAAAGTTCTCATGAAAAAAAACAACTTTTTCTGCATGGGGCATTGTTTGACCATTCTCTCTCAAGTTTATGGCTAAGGACAAACATTACACATAAACCAGTTTAAGTGATCGTAAACTGGTTTAAACCTGTAACAGAACAGATGTTCAGTGCACATAAACCAGTTTGTAAATGGCTGAAACCAGTTTGAGATAAACCTGGTTGAATGCAATATCAGACGTAACAGATTTGGGTCAAACCAGTTTATGTAATGTCTGTCCCAAACCCTTCCTGGTTTGAGTTAAATCAGAGTCTTCCAGCATCCCAGATGCTTTGCAACCCTGGGAGAGGCTCTGCTCCAGCCCAGCAGGGCTGGCTCTGCCCCTCTGTTCCCTGGCCAGAGCTCCAGCAGAGACTGCAGGTACAGCGGCATCTGCCTGACTTCCCCCTGCTCCACCCCGTCACTCCCTGCTCAAGCAGAGATTCCCCCTTCCCCTCTTCTTTACACAGACACCTCTCAGCATTAGCTAGCATATCACATGTTGGATATGGGCCGTGCTGTTGGAGACAAGACAGTGTCAGCGTAGGGCTTTTTGGAGCTAATCAACAGGTAGCTGGTAATGTCCCTCCATTCCTTCCTTACAAAAAGTTGTTTAAGAAGAGCTTGAATTAATGAAAGAGGCTGTTGTTTTGTTTGATGGTCTGATAACTGCTAACAACAACTCCTTGTATAACTCCCTGCTGTGTAACTCAATGCTCTGTTATCAACAGCAAGTGGGGGGGAACCCCTCCCTAACCAGACCATCCTGCAGGGGCCTGGCCACACCCCCCTCACCTCAGTACTGAAGGGAGGGCTGCTCTAGCACCCCCCGGCTTCTAGCCAGAGCCACTGCAGACATGTCCCTATATTTCTTCATTGCAGAGGAGATGTCTGTACGGTTACAAACCAGTTTAACCTCGCCAGATTAGACTAACCTACAAAGATTGAATCAATTCAGGCTCAAGCTTTTTGAATGTCTGTACCTAACCTATATGGTTAATCTCTAGAAAGACTTGCTCATAATCCTTCTCCCAAATTTAGAAGGAACAAATGTTTGGAAAAACAAACAAACAAACAAACAAACAAAATTAAAGAATTAAATTACTTCCCCTTCAAAGAGAGGATGCACTCTTTTTCCCAGAAGGCTCTCTTCCTTCTGGGAAAAAAGTACCTTTTATATACCAAGTCTTATTAGAACCTTTGGATTATATCCTCAGATGTCCTGAAAACTAAAACACTCACAGCCCATCCTGCATTATTTTGATCTGGTAGGACAGACTGACTGCAAATTCTAGTTTAATCCCTCTGAGTTAAGTAAAAAAAGATGTGTGAACCTACACTGCTCTCAGAATTTCAACCTCGGGCCTTCAACACAAGAAGCAGTCTCATTTTCTTCCCCACATAGTTAGCTACCTCACAAAGACCGTTCTTCCTCACTTCACTGCCTATACCACAGTTGTGGCTACTTTACTAGAAAACCCTAGAGCCAAGTGATACTTGTCCCAGAGCCCTGCAAGGGTTCTGGTTTTCCCCTAGTAACTAGGAGTAAAATTTTGAAAAGCTCCTCAGGTTTTTTTAAGTGAGGGGTTGGCAACCTACAGCTTGGATCTGGCTGATGGAGCCAGTGGGTCCAGACTGTTGAGTCACGGGCTTCCCCTGAGCTGTGACCAGGCAGAATTTCCCCTGTGCTACATCAGAGAGAAGTGGCAGCCTTGGCCTTGCCAAGGCAATTAGGCAATTTCCCACTGCCATGGCTGTCAGCTTACCTAATGCAGTGGTGGGGAGAAGCAGCAGTGATTCAGTCCTAGCACTGACCCACCTTGAACCCAAGCCGGATCATTCCACAATGTAGAAAGAAAAGGATGTCGGCCTCTGATTTACATGTGTAAGCCCCATTGAAAGTCATGAGAATTTGCACTAATTCACTTAAGGTACTTTTGAAAAATCTGTCCTAGGTCTCCAACCAAACTCATTTTCAAATGTGTTGCAAAGTCTGAATTCCTGGAAAGGCCAAGTCTACTTTAAATAGATTTCTGTATTACAAATTCATCATACTGTAGTAACCTGACAAACTGAATCATCTGTTACCACTGAACACTTACAGGATGGCACACAGTAAAAAAGGCACTATAGGCATATAAATCAAATATAACAGTGTCTCTGTGAATTCCATGCTTATCCCATAGAATAAATGAAGTTACTTTGAGTTACTCTGAGATTGTAAAGTAACTCATCAGCCAAAAATCTACAGCCAGTAACAAAACAAAGCCAAAAATTCTAAGATTATTCATAGCAGCTTTAGGCAAAAAGACAGACATTCCCTTTGAAAAAAAGAAGCTGTCTTGGTGCCCTAATCCATTCATATTTATTAGAACACATTCCAATTTTACTAGTTTTAAAGATTCTTCTAAATGTAAAATAGAACATTTTATATGCTTTTTGAAAAAAAATGACCAAAGCACTGAGAAATGTCAGATGATATACAAAAGGTGTGCGCTAAAAAATGACCAGAACCAAAAAAGGTAATTAAATTGGCTTCCACATCAGCTCATCCTTTAAAAAATAGCACAGGGAGCAGACCCTTAATCTCCAGTGATGTTACTAACAAGTAATGTTCAATGCTTTCATTGTGTTATTAACTTTGTATTGGCCAAACACCATCTAGTAAAAGTAATTTTTATGCCAATCTTAAATAAGGACTAGTGCAAACCAAGAGAAATGTTATACTTCACTTTTAGCTAAGTTCACCATATTAATTAATAGTCAAGGGAAGGCAGATGCATAAGTCTCCCAAAACAGTTGAAAAATTACAAGAATAAAACTGAAAAATTTCAACATAAAAGTCAGTTGCTAGGTTGGTGGCAAGCTAATGTACCTACTATAACAGGTGCTGCTGACCTACTTATTTGTCTCTATAGGAACTCCTGCCTACAAAACAGTCCACACAGCAAGTTTATGCAAAACATTCTTTTATTATTATCCTTCCTTCCCTCTAATTCCCTTTGATTTATTCATCCATCTGGCAGATCTCATCTAAAGAGGGTAAGCTCCTTAAAATAATGATTTATTTAGAGTAAGGATTTATTTTAATTGTGTGTGTGTGTGTACAACATCTAGTATAGCGGAGCCTGATCATACCTGGATTTCTAGGCAGTATCAGAAAAAATATATACATTTAAGTATATTTACAATCAGGGGTGCTTGTATAACAGGGAAGGAGACAAACAACACACACATGCATAAACATTCACACGGGAACTATAGGATTCTTAAGGAATTGGTTAGTCTCCAGTATGCAAGGCCTAAGGAAATTTCACAGGCTCTTTCTTGACAGGGAATTTCAGAGGCCCTTTTAGAAAGTTTTAAGTTTTTATCCAATAATATATTTCTAATTTACAGGCTAGAATGAAACTAGGAATGTAAATCATTTATAATTCACTAATTTGCTGCTTTAAAAACATTTTACTAAACAATTTTGCAAATCAGCCCATGTTCGTACTTTAAGTTTACATGTCCATATTCCTAAATATAACAAAGGTGCTTTTTTTCAGCTTAATCTTTAGAAAGCTTAAATACAAAATTTATGCTGAAAATACCGTACAAAAATTAAACGTCAGATTTCTGATTGTACTAACCACTTCAAATTGGTTAAGAAAGTCATAAAATTGTCTTCAAAGGGATTCTTTGAAAACACTTCAAGTCTTAATCATAAATAAGACAGTACCATTTACACATTGAAGAGTAACTTCCTATTTGTATTCTTACAATGATTATTCTTGAAGGAATATACCAACTCACCTCTGAACACCATATGGCCTTTCTAGGATTGGCTCCTTAAACGGAGGTGGAATGTGCCCAAAGTAATCTGGGTAAGCCACTTCTGAATACTCAGGGACAGACTTAGTGTTTTTCACAATCTCAATATAAAGATCGGGGTTGTGGAGTGGCAACATATCAGGCACCTCAAGCAGCACTTGCTCTCCTGATGAATGAGAGCTGGAATCCTCCTCTTCATCAGGATCTACTCCAGTGCAGCACAGCTTCCCTAGCTGGACTGACGGTCCCTCAAACAGGCCACTTCCACAAGATGAAACATGTTGGCAAGGTTTATTACAAGCGGGGGTGGTTAGGCTAGTTTTACTTTCTTTCTTTATTAGGCAACCTGTACTGTAATACTGTTCACTTTTTGAAGTATTCTGCAAAGTGATTCTGTCCAAGCCCTTCACAATTTCTTGGCTTAGACACTGACAGGATGAAAGCAATTTCTTTTGATCATTTTGCAGCTGTAAACTATCTTTGTTATGGTCTTTCTTTGGCAGATCCAGAAAAGATGGTCTCTTATTATATTCCTCCATTTGTAAGGAACTGTGGTCCTTCACAGCAATTCCTTTTACTGACTGATTCGCTTCTGCAGGGTGCTCCTCTCCTGCTGTGGGAACAACAATAGGTCCACCTAGATTTGTAGCAGATGCAAAAGGCTTTGGTTCCTTGGAGACTAGGTCATATTCCTTAATAAAATAAATAAATACATAAATAAATAAAGATTAGGAAACTTCTGAAGCTCTTAGAAGTTGGTTTGTGTAAGCTGACAGCGATGTTCTTTTTCCTTAAAGGAAGTATATTTTGGAACAGGCCATCCAGGATGCTCTAAAGAAAATTTTGTTCTATTTAAGACAGGCAGACAAACTACAGTCACAGCAACTTTGTAAAACTTCATCTTGTCCAAAAGGGAAATCCCAAAATACCAGCTTAATGAGGCACCAATGCTTGCAAAACTTTCAAATCAGAACTTTTTAAATGACATCATTAAATTAAGATGGTAGGTACTGTGCACTATGTAAAACACACAGCAAATAAAGTCCTTTCTGACAAAGAATAAGCATAGTTCAACAATGTGATTTTCCTTCCCTTTTTTGCCCTACCTCTAATCCAGGTGTCAGAAACAGACCATAACCCATTTGAGTTACAAAAATGAGACTTAGGTATTAGGGCTGTGCGAAATGGCACTGTTCTGTTCCAACTTCAGTTTCTAGGTCTGGATGGAACAGTGTTTTGTACTGAATTTCATTTTGAGTCGAAACAGCCTCACTGTTTTGCTTCATTAAAACAGCCTCACCGTTTCAATGTTTTGCCCAACCATCAGGCTGAGTTTGTTTCCTCAACGGGACCATCGCACTAGGGAAAGGAACTCAGCCCAGCTGGGCTGAGTAACCATCCCCAGCCCCACAATTACCCTGGGGGCAGGGAGTCAGCACTGCTGGGCTGCCTCCCCATTCCACTGCACTAGATTGCGCCGTGGGCGGGAAGTCAGCCCAGCTGGGTTGACTCCCATCCCAGTGCAATCTAGCATGGGGGCGGGAAGTCAGCCCAGATGGGTTGCCTCCCCATCCCCCGTGCTAGATAGAGCCAGGGATGGGAAGTCAACCCAGCTGGGCTGACTCTCCGCCCCGGGCACGATCTAATGTGGGGGATGGGGAGGCAACGCAGCTGGACTGACTCGCCGACCCCAGTGCAATCTAGTGCGGCGAATGGAAAGGGAGCTCAGCTGGGCTGACTCCCCGCCCCTGGCGCAATCACGCGGCTGGGGATGGGAACTCAGTCTAGTTGGGCTGAGTTTCCCCAGCCCGATGGTTGGGCAAAATGTCAAAACAGCATCAAAACAGCCTCACTGTTTCAACGAAGCGAAACAGGCTGTTTCGACTCGAAATGAAATTCAGTTCAAAACACTGTTCAATCCAGACCTTGAAACTGAAGTTGGAACAGAACAGTGACGTTTCGCACAGCCCTAATACCCAAGTCTCATTTTTGTAACTCAAATGGGTTATGGTCTCTTTCTTACACCTGGACTGGAGGTAGGTGAGCTAGCGTGGGGGATGGGATGTCAACCCAGCTGGGCTGACTTCCTGTCCCCAGTGCTATGATCAAAACATTTTGACTTTTGAAGCGTTTTGACTAGCCTCGTTTTGTTTCAAGGCTATTTCAACGCTCTTTGTTTCGCTTTGATTTTGCTGTTTTGAGCTTGAAACGAGTCAAAATAGCATCGAAATGAAACAGACAGTGAAATTTCGCACAGCCCTATTGGGTATCTAGTTGCTCATAAAAAAAAGAAGCTTGCTCTAAAAATTATTCATACACAAGAGCTTGAAACAAAAGAACTTTAATAACTGGCATATAAGACATATTCCACTGAGGGGGTTATTTTCTATGCTAGGGCTCTACAGGTTCAGTGCTGAGTCAAGGTTATTTTCCCCCTCCTTTACTAACACTACCTGTAATAAAAATTCTGAACATCAAACAGTGACCCACGGTCAATGCTTTAGTTTTAAAATAATGTCTTCTGTCATCTAAATTAACCCATTATCCTCAGGAGTTTTGCACAGAAAACTGATCTGATGTTTAGTAAACAATCTTGTTGATACACAAAGTCAGAAAAAATGGACTGCAATTCAGCTAAGTATTACAGTACTACAATTCATAAATGCCAACATACTTTACCTGAAAGTTCTCTGCAAGTTCCGGGAAAAACTGTTCATATATTTTTAGTTCTTCTATGGGTCGTCCCAATTCTTGCTTTGGTTTCAGCTTATCAATATCTGTCTCTATATCATCATTCTGGAGCAACAACAAAAATATTAATTGTACATCCAAAAATGAAGAAACTTCTAAAACAATTATAGAAAACTTCTTAAATTTACAGCAGGTCATACAGTAAATAACTGTTAACAATACATGGTACTAATACTAGAACATAATTCTGATTTGTCTTCAGAAAATGCTGCTGTTGTTCAAATATATGTTACCAATTTTCTACTTATGTACATGTATATTATGTACAGGCAGGACAGAATGAGGTAACAGTCCCTAAGGAAGAAACATAGGGTTATCCTAAAAAAGAAAGGTGGCTCTCTCATATATACAAAACCCAAAGAGCAGAGAGAGATTCCCGAAAATAGGGGTTGTCAACTGGGAGTATCTGGGAAGGCCCTAGGGGGTACGAGTGGGCGGGCAGGGATGGAGCACCACCACCCAACACACTGCACCACTGCTTCCCAGAAGAAGGGCCGTGGCGGGGTGAGGGCAGCCAGAAGCAGCGGGGACCGGGAAGCTTGCATGCGGCGGCCTCCCTCCCCCTGTGCTCCATGTCCGAATGCGCGCACCCTCCCCCCCGGGGGTAGGTACACTTATTTAAAAAGGTTGAAAAACCCTGCCCTAGAGCATCACCCTACTACATGCAGCAGCCCTGGATAGTTGGACCCCTCTTGTACATTCCTTTGAATTATACCACATAGTGCTACCCAGATTGCACTTATGCTTTCCTTCAGCTGGACTCCTCTCACTTCATAACATGTAAATCCCCATCTCATTTCCTTACAATATTCAACTTTTAAATATTGATAAGCATTCATGTGTACCATTGTCCTATTCAAAAACTAAGTGTGTTAGAGGGTATGAGTAGTAGAGGGGCTCAGTGATATGAGAGGGCAGAAAGACCACCTGAAAGTTAGAGAGAATCTACATGTGAGATGGCATGTGGGAAAAATAGGGCTTGAGCTTGGGAGGGAGAGCTCCAACAAAGTGTATCTGCAGATAATAAGAGGTGTTCAAATAGGGCAATATGAAACAAAGGGATTTTAAGTCTGTGTTAAACACAAACTTTAACTACTAAAATTGGTATTTCAAAAGCCATAGGAGAGTTAGACATTCAACTTCCATGAACTTCCAACAGGCTATCTGTACAAATTCCATCTGGACCCTTTGGAAATTATGGCTGGAATCACTATTGACATCTCTTTAATTCTTGAACATGTGGTAAAGTGCAAAAATAAACTTTTTAACTAAAAATGTATTGTACACTATGAGTTCTCCCTTTGATTGAGTCTAGTGCTTACCTTAAAATGCTGGTCCTTGTCATCTTCATTTTCATTTTCAGTCTCTGTTTCTGTTTCAATGTCATCATTGTCATCACTTTCATCTACTACGTCATCCACTGTGATATAAAATGCTCTATAAGTAAGGCAGATGTATGTTTTCTACATGTACATCCCAGAAAAAAAATGTAATGTGAAATTTTTTCCACTCGCCAGTTGAGATCTGTTAGTACTATATATGAATACAATTCCTATGAAATCATATGAACACTACTACTACAACCAGATTTATCAAAGACTGAAAGCTCATTTGATATTGCAGAATCTATTATTAAAATTTCTGTGCAAATGGTTTTTCCTATTAAAAAAACAAAGCCAAAACCAAAACAACATGCACCTGTAAGAACAAGATTTGATAAATGAAAGATTTGACCAGCTGCACAGATTCAGGACTTCTCTGTTCAGCATAGCTCAGGCACAGGGAATGTGAGCTTAAGCTACCTTTAACTCTCCTCCAAACCATGAGCTACCAACTGTCATGCCCTCCCGTCACAATGTTCCTGGTAATTAAGGAGTGACTGCGTATAGTTTTGCTGCTATACCTCCTTTTGCCCAGCCAAGTCTCTTATCCTAGAAACTAGGAACAAGCAATACAAAAATTCTGAAGGCAGCTAAAAATCACACAGGAAAGCAGCTGAAGTAGTTTCTCCAACTGCTTGGCATTACTGGCTTTAGGCCTAGGATAATCTTCTTCATTACCATATTTTTTCATGTATTTTAACTGAAAATAAGTTGAGACCAACACATTACAACTGTTTCCTTGATATGATTTAGGTTAAAACACAATGCCAATATAAGTGGGCACTATCCACAAACTTCAGTGAATGCGTACCTTCTTCCACAAATGGCAAAATTTGCCCCCCACTGTGTCATTTTAAATACTGAGTATTGTTTATATTTCAGAGCAGGAATTTTGCACTTATTTAATACATTTGATATTATTATGGTTTAGCCACTCCACAGAAAATAAGCTGTTTGTTGTATTTGTCACTCGTGAAATATTAATTTAATCATTGTAAAAGTTAAAAATAGATGTAGCATAAGGGGTGGGGCTATTTTGTACATCTCTTCTTTTAAACTTCTTGTCTCATTTTCTTTACTGACCATAATATTTCTATGTTTATAGTTTTAAAGAAGCTGCACTAGAGGCCATTTAAAAGAGCCATGTTACAAGAAGACACTTAAAGCCTCTTACTCTGTGCCCTCACACTAAATTTCTTGTTCCCCATGGCTTTTGGCAGCACCTAGAAAGCAGAGGGGGACATAGCAGTGGAGGGATTGGTGGCATAATTGAAAGATTGGTAGACTACAACAGTGTCCATACCACAAGCATATGACCTGTCACTCTGAAATGTTGGTGACCCCTAGACTAGATAATTAATGTTTAATCAGGTCTGATTTCATGGAACCAAGAGCAGTGTTAGATATACACAGAGCCAATGCATTAAAAGTAACTGTACCTTCTGGAGGCAAACTGTAGAGCTGAGCCACAGGACCACTGGTAGGAATAACTGGGAGTTGAAAATGAAAAGCACTTTTAATTGTTGGTAGTGGAAGACGGTTTTTAGGGAAACATTTTCTCATTATTAGGCTGGATGTGTTGACAAGTGGATCAAGAGTACGTACTGCAAGGCAATCCTATTAAAAAAAAAAAGAGAGTCACAAAATAACAGATGTTTTCAAAAAGCAAAACACCAGTTTTTTAAAAACATATAGCATTATACATATATTTACGTACATACATAGTTTTGCGCACAAAATTAGAAGATGGAAAATTTATTATTACTGCTAAAAATGAGTAAAAATGTCATTTTAATACAAAAAGATATACTAAGGTATAATAGATTTAAATAGATGGACTATAAAGCAGTATTGTTTGCTACTTTTGAAACTTGTAGATCTTCTGCCAACTCTGTTTCACATTTGTATAAAAATACCCCATTTATTAGTTTGTAGACTGTTTCTTCTTGAATTTGAAACCTGTTCCTCAGTAATCTGAGTTACTTTTGAATAGCATGAGATATTAGCTAAATCACAATCACCATTTCTCCCATTTTAGATAAGCCAAGGAGTGAAACCAAATACAGAAGATAAATCTAATTCTCATGACATAGCAGCACAGTACCACACAGAACAAGAGAGCAATGAGTTAGTATCTTAGGGCCAAATCCAAAAGAGGACTGAAATGCCCAAAGCAGGACCAAGGCTGACTTTAGGTACCCAAGCCCCAAACTGATTAAAAACCCCTTTTCAGAAGTAACATTCACCAGGCACCTTCCTTTTTTTGGAACCAATGAGTTCCATTGGCACCCACAGTTCTGCTTTTGTGCTTGCTCAGAACTTCCCCATTTGAACAGCTAGGAGCCCAGCTCCTCCCAAAACCCCATCTGAGCCCCAAAGCAAGTCTGAGTAGCACCTGTATCCCAAGAAAGGCCCTATCACATAGGCATGTTTAAGAACCCACCTTGGGCGCATCCCAAGTACCCAAGTGCAGTTCACAGCACCTCAAAGAAGTCTGAGGTGCCGCAAACCACATGCAGTGCATGTGTAACTATTCACTGTGTTGTTAGCAGTGTGGCTGGGGTTTATTTTTTGACACGAGGAGATCCCAGTGTCAAAAAAACCTGCTGCCAAAAAATGTGTCATGGTGCACGTGACAACAGTGTATGCTGCCAGAAAGGGAGCCTGGCTGGCCAGAGCCATACTCCGGCTGCCAGCCAGGCTCCAAGATGCCAGCTTGGCACTGCTGCTGCCCCAGGAAGCCACCAGGACTCCAGGTAATGCCAGCACAGGTGCTGGCCCCAGCCTCCCCTATACCACCCAAGTCACTTTTCTGTGCACCCGAGTGCGTGTGCAGGGGCGTGCCCTGGGACAAAAAGCAGCAGCACAAATATGTGCTGCTGCTATTTGTCCCATGGGAAACACACATCTCTGGCACATATGGGCTTGTCAGGGATATGCCCCATGTACACACCAACAGTCATAACCACTTTTATTCAAAGTGGATAGCCAAACAAGTAGGAGGTGGGAAGGGGTGATTTCAAATTATCATTATAGCGAAATAGCACTAAGTGAAACAGTGTTAAGCAGGGGTTGCCCGTACCAAATACCTTTACCAAGATGTAAATTATAAACTGATAAAATATAAGAAATTAAGGCCTGCAAAATAATTTAGTCAGTCTATGCCTCAAATCTTACAGTAAAGCATTTGTTTTCTAAAAGGTAACTGAGAATTCATAAAATAATACCTGTAACAACTGAATAGTATGCAAAACTTTCATGTGCAATGATAGCAAATAAATAAATATAAAAAGGAATTCAACTCACTTGTGAAGTATTGTAAAGAATTTTCATTCCATTTGCATCGATAAAGGCTTTCCTTCCCAATTTGATATTTGTAACACTTTTAATGCATTGTAAGATTCCTTTTCGGATTAGCATGTGCCTGTGTCGACTATCATGGCGGTGCCAATCTACATAAATTGTTAAAAGCACCTGGACATATCCTCTGTCGACCGCTCTCCTGGCATTTGTTTCTTAAGATTGACAATAAGGAAAAAATTAAAGGAGGCAAATTAAGCATTGCTAGAGTATAATGAAAGGATATTAGCAATTGAAAATATTACTATAATTTTGCATCAAATTTAAAAACTAGGATGTTGTATTTTATCATGAATGAATTATAATGAATAAATTATAATAATAAAATAATGATAAAAATAATAAAATGATTCATAATAAATAATAAATGTTAAGGAGAGAGCCCTCCAGTCACCTTCATACAGTTTTCCCTATCTTCCATTAATAGAGATAGGGAAAGTCCAAGAATATAAATTTTCCCATTTCATAGAAATCAAGCCATATGGCTGCAATTGTTTTCTCTATCAAGATCACAAAACTAAGAAGTAAGTCACTCTGAAACACTCATATAAATTTGCCTAAACAAACTTTATCCAATCCAATACTGAAATACATTTAACATACTTCTCTGCTGTAACTGAGCACAGGTTATGAACAAAGATCAATTTCCTGATGTTAGTTAACTTGCAATATATTTCTATTGATGTGGTGGTGACTGGCAGTACTTCTATGGTTGTTCTGCAGATGTTTTCTTTTTAACTTAATTTTTAATGCTCCAAGTTAACATTTGAAATTGAAGCTGATACTATCAAGCTACATATATTTTTATTAAAGCTCCAGGTAAGAAATAAAATTGGTTTGGACAACAAGCTGAATGGATACTTGAAAGTAAAACAAAAGAGAAACAAAACATCACGGGTTTATATAACTCTCAATTTTTTTTTTTAACAATAGACATTAACAAGTAGTAAGTGCAGATGTGATTTTTATCATGGAAACAATTTCTGAAAAAGACTACTACCAAAAAACTACTATTCACATACTATACTAGTTCAATAAGGATATTTTACTATGTACACCTAACATGCCAATATGTACAATGTGTATTGTACACTCCAGGTTAACTCCCACACAAATTTTAAGTATTTTTTATATTTAACAAGAAAATAGACATAAGAGAGATATTTTGAGATACTTCTCTTAATCTGTTTCCTTCATTTCTCAAACTTAACATTGGATTTAATTACCAGGGTTAACAAAAAAAAGTTTCCAGTTTCTTGGCTAACAGGCAAAAATCAAATACAACTAGCAAACTGTCAGCAAATGTGCATATCCCTATTATATGTTTACCTGTGTGCATATGAACAATGCAAGCATGAAAGCCTCACATGTTTTTCTATTGCCCATACTCCATGTAGCCTTTTTTTTAAAAAAAAAAAGAACTGCCGTGTAGTATTTCTATAAACTCAAACCACCAATTTTTCCAAGTCATTGTACCTCTATAAAAACAGTTCTCCAGTTAACTTGAACTTTTGCAGTTCTGCCATTTCCATTAAATACATAACTGATTTTAACTGCCAGATTTTGTCCAAGATCCAAAACATAACTGACTGAAATGACCCAAACCCCAAAAATACCTCCTGCAGGCAAAAATAATTGGTTATTTCAATGAAAAACAAAAGATTTTCAGAGATACCAGTAATAGAAAAACAAAGGCGTTACAAAACAGTTTTGCAATGACAACTATATTATGCTGATTGCCTGTAAAGACTTATAAAATAAAGGTTCAGAAAGCCATTTCCACTTATTTTTAAATTTGAATTTTCTATTTTACAAAACGAGATTGTACACACCAAAAATGCATACTTTGTGAAATACATATATGCCTCAGGGGGGAAGAGAGGCACAATGCCAAAAGGCCTTCGGGACCCCAGGGAACCACTTTTGCTTACATTTATTTCTTCTAAGGTCTCTTAATTTACATAATGGACCATCATCAATCAAAATTTCCCGCTTTGAAAGAAGTAGGTATGTTGGCTTCTTAGTTTTCCATAGACCTCAGATTTGACTTTGCATTTACACAGTAGCAGACTATTATTCTGAGATATTTCCTTCTATTGGCTTTTTCTCTGCAAGAAATCCTGAAAAATACTTACAACTATAAAAGTCCAGGGAGTAATAAAGGCTGTGAAGTTGATCAAACCTGAGAATGACTAAAATTCAGTACAAACGGAGACAGAGACCACCACACACAAGTAAGTTTCCAGTTGTACCCTAGAATGATTATCTAGAAATCCTGGTCACCTTACAACTCCTACCCATTTTACTGCTATTCTAAAACTACGATAGTACACACAGATTCACTGTGAGGGAAGGAAATAATAGCTTGTAGCTTATTGGAAAGTTAGCAGAGAGAAAATTCTTAGCATTTATCCTTCCAGACTCAATTAGCCACTGGAGAAGAATGGCCCCTGTTATTTCTATACTTGTAATCTTTATTTTAAAGCTAGTATCAGATACTTTCTTTAGGCATGTAAGCTCATTTCATCATAGCCGGGCTAAAGGAGATGGTATACATTTGGCGAAATCTGCCTTCACCCTGATTTACAATTCATGGGAGTGAGAATCACAGCCACCCACTGCAGAAGGGTGGAGCTAAGCAGCTATTAAAGGATACTTCCTCACCACAGAGTCCAAGTCAGTTTTTGCATAAGTTGGGTAGACTCTCTGCTACCCAACTGGTTAGAGACAGTTAATATTACACATGCTGCAAATATTGAAATACAACACAAAACATTAAAGATGAAATTTTCACTTAAAGTTTCCTATTTGTTGTTGGTTTCAATCAAAATAATTTAGTTTAAAAATATATAGTCTAACAGAAATCATCTAGGAGTCAAACACTTACTTGATTTTAGCAATGCAGCAAGTGTGTCTAAAGCAACCCTGTCAACATAACAAGAGACAAACAACAAAGAACTAGTAAACTTAATCTACAACATTGTAAAGCCATAAAAATATAAGCAACTGACTTCCTGAGCAACCATCCCAAAGACTACCTTGACTGTATTAATATTATGTAGGCTTTTCCTCAAAACATTTAATTCTATGTCATGCATCTCTTCTAGATTTGAAATCAGATAATGTAAGTTAGAAACACCAATATAATGGTTACATGAACTTTAAAAGCTCTTACAAAGATGATACCCGCAATCTTAAGTCCTATTCACATAACTGAACATTATAAAATTATAGATTATTTTTAAAGAATTGATTTTTAAAGAAATGTTTGAAATGTAACAAATTACTTATGTAACACTACAATACACTGTTTTGGCAAAACTGATGGTTAAGAAAACTGGTTATAGATCAATACTCTTAATTTGTTATTTGTATATTCCTATTAAGCAAATACAAAATAATATTTCTACATTAGAAGCCCTTGCCTATTATTCAGAATGTAAAAACTACATTCTTTTTAACCTCTTGGCAAAGATGGGCAGACTACACCTAGTCCTTGACTAATAGTAGTTGCATGCTAGGAAAAACATGCTCAACAACATCAAGGAATTATATTCATACGTTTTAATTTTCTTGGACAAAAAAAAGGAATAAATCATTTGTATAAATCAAAGTAGTCTGTAAAAACTATATTCACAAGAACTGTAAGAACCGTATTCATCTGCATTAGGTTTAAAATGTAAAACATACTTGTTACGTGCACAATGAAATTAGTACGTGCGACATGGTTATTTGGTACGCAACCGATGCCTCCTGTTGCACAGATGTACAATTCAAAAAGGAGGTAGATTACAAGAAAAGCATGGTATTAAAATAGTCAGGCACAAATTAATGAGATAGCATGATTCCGAACTATTTTTTGAGAAATCGAATGTTAAAGGCAGGCCAGCCTTTCTATTTTTACCCAAGATTCAGTAACAAACTAAAGAATCAAGGAAGTATTATTTGAGAATGCCACTGAAAGTTTCATATACATATACTAAATTGCATGGTGCCTTCATATTATGAGTCTTTGCTCTAAAGAAACTGCATATTGTAACACCTGAGACATGAGGAACAAGCATTTTCCTTTTGCTTTTTAGTTTATATCAATTTAACTATAATAGTAACAGCCTGACTACCTGTCAACCCAATGGCTCTCTAAGATGACACGGCACTATATCAAGAAATATATTTGCAATGTGTTTTTAGAATAACACTGAAGCAAAACTTCAAGAAATTAATGCTGATGAAACTGCCTCAAAATGTTTCAAGTGATCTGGGGAAGGCTGTGAGCAGTTTTTTGTATGTAGGAGTGATGCACAAGTAAGAGACAATTTCTGTACATTACATGGCATAATAACCAGGTATTTTAATATCATAGCTTGGAAATAAGTGGTATTTATAGAATCCAAGATTTAGGGGTTTTGTCCCAGCATTTAACAGTGAAGTCTGAAGGAGAATTTGATTAAAAAAATTCTTCCTCAAAAATAAATTTTGAAAAGCATTTAAAGTTTTTTGCATATAATATATTTAAATAAAACCCCTTTTACTCACTTCATAAGGCCAGTGTTCTTTTTACTAAAAGGGCCAATGATCTTAAACATCAGTTCCACAACTCCATTTTTCCCCAAGGATACTGCATTTACAGCTGAAAGGAGTAAAAATTGGAAAAAAAAATGATAGAAATTGAAATATTTCTAATTATAGTTCTAACTTAACTATTTGGTTTTAGCAACCAAAATACAGGCAAGTAAATATACAAGTGGGTTTAGATTATGTCCATTACTGTGCTGAAATAAGACAACAAATCGGGCTAAAGCAGCTCCTTACTAGTTCTTATTTTGTTAATGTACATACCTGATACTACTCAAATACCTAACCATTCCTTACCCCTTCATAAAAAAAAACCCCATGAGTGTTCTAATGAAGTCCCAAGTTGTTACTGTTACAAAATATTTCTGGTATTTACTAGTATGCTTTGAAATAAAAACTATACTTATTTATGCAAGTGAACACACATTTACTGATATATTACTCTTATTTAATTGTTTGTTTATTTACTGGATCTCTGAATTCAGTAGTCTGTATATACTACAGCAACCAGGGCTATCACCAAGGCTTGTGGGTTTTGGGAGTAGGTTTTTTCTTCTTTTTTTTGTTGGGGAGAGGTGGGAGTTGGGTATCTGAATGGGTTTGGTAAGCCATCAGGAAGTGCAGGCAAATGTTTCAAAAAAAGCAGAAATTTACTGACATCATCTACTTTAGAGACAGAAGAATCACTTCTAGGAAGGTGCAGGAGAGTAGATACCACGTGGGAAAATATACAGTGGCACAGGCAGAGGCATGGTAGTACACATGGACACTGAAGCCTCTCCCAATTTTTTAATGTTAATAACAACAGAAGTCGTTATTTTCAATATATGCTTTCACCTCCTTTCTTATCAAGATGTATCATAAAAAGTTTTCCTTCCTTCAAGTTTATGCTTTGTCAGTTAAGAAGCTATCTTCCTCTTAGCACTGGCAAACCTTCTAGGCTCCATGACTAAAGGGGTCCTTCAGCAACAGGACAGAGGTGTCCTGTTGTCAGAAGCCCAAATACTAACAGTATTGGGTGCCTATACATGAGCAGCGAGGCTGTTCTGACACACTGTAATTACAGCTCATCAGAGCAGACTCAATTAATTAAGTCTGCTGAAGCGTGGTAATTACTGTGTTGCAGGGAACTCCAGTGTCTCATGCATCAGCATTCCTATGCTGAAAAATGATGGCTTGCGCTTTAGTTAGAGCAGCTCTCGGAACCGCACTAATTAAAGCACCCTCCCCACCACTCCCAGAGCACATGTATAAGTGCCCATTATTTCTATCCCAGTACCACCTAGTCTCTGTATAGTAGTTCCTGATAAAAAGAGTAGAATTACAATATAAAACCCGCAGCTGACAGTGAAGTGGTAAATTAGAGAAGTAAAAAAGGAGTTAATGAAGGACCTGTGGTCTGCCCTGAAGAAGGTACAGAGTGTATGTGCTTATTCTCAAATGTGGTGCTTCGTGAAGAAACAAGTGATACACAAACATAGGTGCATAAAAAACTGGTTCATTTAAAAAAAAATTCTTTACATGGGTATCAAGAGGGCAATCCAAGAGGAAAGAACTTATTTTAGTAGTCATACATGAAACAGTAATTCAACTTTATTTACTAATAACTTAGGGCATTTATACATGTGTTCTGGGAGTAAGGAGCAGCGTTCACTCTAAGCTACATGGCATGAGTGCACCTGCGCAGCCACGCACACCGCACAACTTAGAGGGAATGCTGGTACGGAGGGGTTTAATTAGAGCAGCTCTAAGCGCCTCTCTAATTAAAGCACCTGGAGCGACTTCTGTATATCATCATCCCCGTACTTAAAAATGGCAGTGGGGATGCTTTATCTAAAACTTGTCCAATGAGCTTTAGATAAAGCTTCCCCGCCATCATTTTTAAGCACAGGGATGCTGATGCACAAGATGCTGGAGGTTGCTGGAGAGTGGTAATTACCAAGCTCCAGCAGACTTGATTAATTACACCACATCGGAGCAGCCTCACGGCTTGTGTATAGGTGCCCTTAGAGTCTGTATCATTAACAGTAGTATTCCAGATACTACACACATTATTATACCCAAGGAGGATTACAATCTTAATAAATAAGAAAAAGGGCTAAAAGGGGAAAGAGGTAGATCTGAGTCCCAGTCCAGTCCCCTATTCAGTGAAGCAAGCTGCCTCTCAACTAAGTCATTAGGATATCCTCTACTAACGTCTCCCTTTTAAAGCATCATATAAAGTAGATTACTATAAACAAAGCTGTGTCATTAAACATGCCACAACTTCATGGGTGCACAGTGGCTCATGGAAGCCATGCTGCAAAACAAAATCTCAGATTAATTCCTTCTGAATAATGTGCCTTTGTTCCTATGAGTTTGTTAAGATAAGCATTTGGAATGCAAAATTTAAATTAAAAAAAACCCAAAACATCAAAACCAGCCATGGTGACTCACTCCTCAGAAGGAGCAACTCCAAACTGATGGCCTGCTCTTGCAATACTGGCACAGTGAGCATTGCAATGTTTTCACCAAAAGCCAGTGATCCAAGTTTCTGCTGCCTGTAGACCAGGGGTGGGCAAAATGTGGCCCAGGGGCTGGATGTGGCCTGCCAGGCCATTCTATCCGGCCTGTGGGGCTCCTAAAAAATTTAGAAAATTAATATTCATCTGCCCTGGGCTGCCTGTCATGCAGCCCTCGGTGGCTTGCCGAAACTCAGTAAGCGGCCTTCTGCCCAAAATAATTGCCCACCCCTGCTGTAGACACACTGAAGCAGACTATGATGGATGCACAATACTCTATCATAGCATTTCCCCTGATAAATGTTCACAGTCAGTCAGTAAAAGGGAAAAATTACTGAAGCAAATACAAATGCTCCCTAAGGAGAAATAAGTGACAGCTTCTTGGTTAAGATTTTAAATCAGCAGTAATTATGAAGTAGCAAGGTAATTTAAAAAGGCAGTACTATGAGCGCACACACAAGAGAATGCTTATCCCAATAAATGCTTATAAATAAGTCAATTAATTTATCGGTACTGTTTTAAAACATTTAACGTCAGCATTCATACAAAATGAAAAAGTTGGCAAATAGCTCCACTGAAAAAGAGAATTGATTAAAAAAAATAAAATTGTAGCAAGCATGCAGACTATAGCTGTTGCTACAGTTTTTTTTAATGCAAAAGGATATACATTGTTCAGTTTTCAGGAAGCAATTTATTATAATCATGTAATTGTAAGCAAATATTTATATCCTACGTTTTAAACACTGCAGGATAAAGTATTTGATGTTGTATGGAAAAATAACTGAATGCTCCGCAATACTTACAGTTGGTAGAGTAAACCCGTAGTACTTGGAGACATGGCAGTATTAACCTATGGTTCTGCAAATTCTGTTTCACCAAATTCAATGATATGTTTAAGGCTCCATTAATTCTGGCTTTAACTCCAAACTTTTTATCTGAAATAAAAATCAACAAAAAGTCTGAATTTGATTTTGATTTAGCCAAATGGGGGAAAAGGGGAATAATGTAAATATATTTAAGTTTGCTTAAAAGTAGAAAGATAAACTAGTTGTTCATCTCTTATCCCTCATCATTCTCCCCTTGTCCAGTCCATCACTTCCTTAATTTTCTTTTTCCATTCTGGTCAACATGATTACATTTAGTAATTCTGAATATGCTTAAATCCAACCTGAGAAGTTCAGCAATTTGAAGTCAGGTCTTCTCTACTTGGCTGGGCACTCAAAAACTGAGGCACCTGCATTAGTAGTCACTTTGAAATTTAGATCTTCAATATCTGCATCTCTGTTTACTCAGAATGATAATGAAAGCAATTATCTAGTATTTGTCCTGAAAAAATATTCTAAAAAAGTTAGTTATACCAGTTGAAGAATATTATGTGGGCAAAATATCAACAGTTAAAATGCTGATTTACCTCTACTGTGATTACCTTTTGGACCAATTTTTGCAAGAAGGGAATGAAGTTGCACCATTAATTCCTCATTTGGTGGAGAGTCTTTGCTGGCACCCAAAAGCAACTGCAACAAGATCTGTGTCCCCCCTTTAGAAACTAAAATGCAAGCTCTGCGACCACCACCTTGAAATTAAGAAAAAAAGAAGTATAAAAATATTCAAAGAATATTAAGGTATTCAAGGTCAGATACTCTTTGGAACAGAAGCTTTTTCATCATACCACCTTGAAATTCCCAAGCACTTTGTTGGCACTATACATTTAGTAAGGCAAATGATTAAACCAATTTTTATAAATATTATACATGAACTAGATTTTCATTATTTTAATCTCAAAAAATAAAGTTGTATAAATCAGCTGTCTTAGGTATACTTTTATTTGAGGCACTAATCTATAGAAAATATAGGCACACTATCAAATTGCCACTTGATGAAAACTTACCAACAGATACTAACTCAATGAGAATACTTAATATGTTTAGAGTAGTCTGAAGATCTCTGGTATTCTGAAACGAAATAATATTCTGTAAGTTTCAGTTTCAAATACTTCATACTACACACATATTTATCTTTGTTGCATTTGTGAAGCTAATATTTTTTCCTCGTAGAACTAAAATAGGGCTATGTTTTCATGCTTGCTCTCTACACTTCCTCATACCCTTTGAAAGTCATTATTTTATGCCTAAAGAGAGAGGGTTGGTTTTCTACTACTCAATGATACCAGGTTTTGAAACACAAAGCCATTGTGCCCCCATACATATCTTCTTTTACTCTGAAGATCCTACTTATAAAGATTTTGCTTTAACAAGAACTTCAGATACACTACAGATACTTGAGTCACATGCATCGTTTTAATATCAAGAAAATAATAAGTGGCAACTGGAACTCTGAGATATATGTCAATCAAATCACTTAAATAAGCTTTTAGATCTTGATTGAACAAGATATCTAAATAATATTCTGTCTGCCAGTTCATAAACAGTTTCTTTGAATTTTTCAAGTTTGTCATGTTCTTAAGCACTATTGAAGTAGGACTTGTAAAGGTACTTCTCAAAACAGAACTTGCATACTATGGAGGTAGGTGGGCTGGGAAAGGTATACATAATAATTTAAAGCCCAATATTTATACTCTGCATTATATAACTCACACACAAATAAAGGGCATCACCTCTAAAGTGGAGAGGATAACTTCTACTCCTGTGGAACCTTTGGCAGTCATTTCCTTCCTGGTTTTTTCTGAAAGTCAGAGAAAGACCATTTTTCTTTTAATGGCTTTGCATTACAGGTATTTGGTCAGTTTTCTGTGTAGAAAATGGATACCACATTTAGGAAGTCTAAGCTATATAAAAAAAAACAACCCATAAAGAAGGGGTGAGTTAAAGTGATAAAAATATAACAACATTTAGAGTGAGCAAACTGATTTAGATGTGAAAGTTAGCTTATGCTTTTAACTTATTCTTTCATACATCACTCCAGGACCCAGTTTTGACCTGGGCTAACCAACTTGGTGTGGGGTATGAATGAAAACCACAGTGTGACATTCATTTATGCTGGTAATCCTAAATGATACTTTGCAGCAAGGATGCGGGTATCATTTAAATGCTGACAGTCCTCCAAAGTCATCTTAGAATTTTCCTCAGGTATCCAAAAGGACATAACAAGTATTTCCAATTGGACGTACCACTGGCAAGTGCAGCACCAGTGAGGACAGAGGAATTTAAGTCTGATTTTGCAGGTATCTACACATACCCAAAGGTTAACCTGGGTGCTCAAATCCAAGTTCTGATAACAAGGGTTAGATTGCATTATCCCTAGGAAGCTAATGATGCAAAGCTATCCAGGTGAATCTCCTGATAAAATGTAACAATGCTTCCATGAACTGTGCCACCCAAAAGGAGGGGGAGCCGGGCTCGGTGCTGTGCTCTGGCCACAGCAGCTGCCACCTCCCCTGGGCGACAGACAGGGCTCAGGTACTGCTGGGGGGCACGGGGGGCTGCAGGCCCTGATCCCTGGTCCCATAGCCCTTGTAGCTGGGGCACCCCACGGGAGCAGGGGTCAAGAGTGAGGGGCACTGGCAGGGCTGGGGGGGGTGGCAGGACGTGAGTTGGGAGTGAGGGCACAAGTAGGGCTGGGGGGATAGGGGGCTGTGGGTTAGGAGTGAAGGGCACCAGTAGGGCTGGGAGGGCTGTGGATCAGGAACGAGCGGCACTGGCAAGGCTGGGGTGGGGGTGCTATGGCTTGGGAGTGAGGGACAATGAAATATCAGGGCTGCTCAGCACCACAAAACAAGGCGGGAGGGTGGAGCCACAGCTGGACCTGCATCCTGGTGAGTGAAGGGGGCAGGGGGAGCTCTGATTTTCCATGATTTAAAAAAAAAAACAAAAAACAAAAAACAAAAAAAAAAAATCAAAATATATAGGTATTTAGAACGAAATTTTATTTTAATGATTGTGGCACTGGTAGGCTTCCAAATTGCTTTAAAATTGTAAATATAACAATAAAAGATTGTGTTCAACTGATATATATATATTAGTGGCGTTTCATTTTAAGTGCAGAAAAATATGGATTTGGGGTGTTTGAATCAGAGATTTGGGGATTTTAAACACAAAAAACCAGGATCCCTGGCAACTATCATTCTATGAAGTTGGTATTATTCCTATAACATCTGTTTTTATGTCCCCCAGCAGGAGTCCAGCTTCTCCATTTTACTTACATTAGTGTATAGGCATATTAATCATTTCTGCCTGACCTTACCCAAGTTTCTAGTTAGAACAGGTAGTCAGTTGTTCAACAGTAATACCCACCTGGTTCCTACTTTTATCAATGGTGCTAGTATCCATTTCTCTTCCAGTCTCTAGAGGTCCTTTGTCCCTGAAGAAATTCTCATTTACTCAGTTTTCCTCTCATCATATATGTATTCCCTTTATGGAAGTTTTCGGGCTTCTCCTAATTTTTTTCTCCTGGTTTCCTACTTTAAACTCCTATCAATCCTGCCAAACTTGATACCAAAAGGCTATTTACCTGCTTACTCAAATGGAGCATATTTCTTTTAGAGTAACCATGGATACATGCTAATGACCAAACCATCTCCAAGCCTTTTTGACAGTACCAGTCTCTCAGCCATCTGATCTTCATTATCTTGCCCCTTCTTTTCTTGGAACAGGAAGGTTCCCACTGAAAATCACTTGAGCTTCAATTCTTTTAAGTGTCTTTTAAGTGTCAGCTTTTATACAAATCCTCCATGCTTTCTTCCCATTTTTTCTTCCTTCCACTTACTCTCTGAGATTTTTTTGCCACCCATACAGTTACTCAGAGATTATTTTTAAATCTACCCATTTCTGTCTACTTAAAATACACACCAAAAAGGGTTACAGTATTGCAAGCAGTTTAGTTTTACTGAAATATAAAATCCGCAGAGCATAAGGAGGGGGGGGAAAAGAACCTAACAAACTTCCACATCACATTTTTTCATATAAACTCATATTTATAAACTAGTCAGATACGACCCAGTTATATATTACTTAAAAAGCAAATCCTAAACCTCTGTTCTCTGCTGCCCCCTAGCCGCCATTTCAGAAAACAAAAGAAACTTAAAAGTTTACATTAGGATAAAGTCAACCACTAATCCACATGCCAGTGATTATTGCGATTAAAATCAAAAGCCAGACTAGCCAGTCTAAGCCAATCATAGCCAGACTAATAGCTGAACTGCAATAATTCTAGTATAGACTTTTTAACTTCTTATACCATACCAACTAGAGGTGCACTGATACATCAGTCCGATATTGCATTGGTACTGATATAAAGAAAATTTGCTATACTGGATATCGGCCAGATAATTTGGCCAATAAATGGCCGTGCTGCGTGCAGCCACAGCACAGCACAAAGCAGAGCCAACAGTATAGAGAGTTGCCTCCGGCTGGTAAGCTGGAAAGGGAGGGGGAAAGGAGGGGTGGGGGGGGTAGATCAATGTCCCCTGGGGATCTGTGCAGGGTGGGCAGGTGGGCTGGAGCACCCGCTCCAAGCCTCCCCCCGCCAAGAAGAGCCCCGTGCAGCACCAGAAGAGCCTCAGAGTGGGCACCGGAGGTGCTGGGAGGGGCCTGCCACCCCATATTTTGCTACAGCTCCGCTCCCAGCCCCACGCCACCAGGTGCAGCCTAGCTCCATGTCCCGCCTCCATCCACGCACTGGGAAGAGCTGAGGCTGAGCCAGGGAGCTGGTGTCACAGGGCTGGGAGTGGAGCTGTGGCAAAATCTGGGGTGGCTGCAGTCCCTCCCAGCTCCACTGGTGCCCGCTCTGAGCCCAGTCCCCGCCAAGAAGAGCACAGCGCAGCGCCAGCTCCAGCCCACCTGCCCCGCACAGATACAGGGGGCACACCCTGCCCTTGTGGAGTATAAGCAGTGGCGGGAGATGCCCCCTACATGAGCTGCACCTCCATCCTCCCCCCATCCCCCTGGGTACAGCCTGCCCCTGTCCCCTCCTCCTGCACCGCAGGAGGCATTGATCTGCCCCCCCCCTTTCCACTTCCACCACAACAGACTTAACACATGGAGGCAGCTGTATCAGATATTAGATTGGTATGGCCCAATATGCCTCCTTGAATATTGGCAATTGGTATTAGCCCCAAGAATCTCTATCGATGCACCCCTAATACCAGCCACTGTAATACTGCCCACTGTTAATACAATTAACATGTTTTGGGATAAAGTGTAGGAGGGGAGGAAAGGGTGCTCATAACAGGAAAATAGTTCAGAGAGAAAATTACCTTGACTCTGAGCCAGATGAAGGATCTTTGAGGTAACATATCTGGCAGTGTCTGCTTCTACTAACAAGGATTCTGAGTTGATCTTCTCCAGTTGTGTTAGCAGCACCACAATCCGAGAATTGCTAGCGAGACTGAAAGAAACATATTTTATATTTGTTTTAATTTACACACCAGCATTTGGAATTTTTTCTGAGCTGAAACAAAGTAGTTATCCCCCAACCCCAGCTTTTTTTTTTTTTTTTTAGTTAAAGGCAGACAAGGTTAGCTCTTTAGTGAACCAGGCTTAGATCAATAGCTTTTCTACAATTACACAGTAAAACCAGAAGTATTTCCTATACTTAGTTCATTCTCAAAACTAGCACT